CGGGATACTCAAGGCCAAGCCTTTTTCTGTAGAAGGACTCAAGGTTGAAGGACCCCTGGTCCGGGCATGTGAAAAAGCCCCACAGGGGGGGGGGGGGGGGCAAGAGTGCTGTAGGTGTTTTCTAATATTGTAAACAGCGTCATGCGGAGGGAGGGATAGGGAGAAGATCTGCTATTTAGAAAACTTACATACGATCACAAAGAGTCTTGTACCTGTTCGAGAAAATGCCACAGCCGAACGGGACGTCTTGCAGTCTTTGGAAACGAGTGGGGAAAAAAGTGTGTTCGCGCGAGAGAACTGGGCAAAAATGTCATGTGCCTATGACGGGGTGTGTGGGTACCCCCAAGCATGTATGTGCTCAAGATGAAACCAAAAAGAGTTTGCGTGTATGCATGATAAACCCACAGCCACCACTTAACCAATCCCACCATAGTTACGGACATGATCACAACCGCAAACCGGTGTCCCGCCGCTGCTGCGTGCAACGTTATGATTGTGCTGCCGTTCACCGAAACGGGGGGCAGCCCCCACCAGAACGACCCCCGCGGCACCACCTGACATCTTGCGTCGGAAACAACCGGCTTGCCGGTACGGAATGCGAGAAAAAGAAAAAGACGCAGGCTTACCTACCTACGCCGAGCTCCGCAACACGGGAACAACCTCCCTCGGCTGCTGTACAGTACCGAATAATACCTTCCCGTATCATACCGTACCATATCATACCTTCCCGTATCACGTCGCACCCTTATCATACCATACCGTATCATACCGTCCCGTATCATATCGTACCGTATCATACCGCACCGTACTGAACGGAAAGCGCACATTGTGTGCGGGATCATCCCCAGGAGAGCTGCCGCAATTACTCGAACATACGGCTCATTTCTACGAACGTTTTTTGTTCAACAGGCTCCCTCCCCCTTTCCGGAGGCAACCGCTACCGCTACCAGCTAGAGGGATGTCTTGCGGTTCTATCGAAAACACTCACCTTCTTGAGGTTGTTGAGCTTGAGAGCCCAATTGTCTCCCACGTCTCGCTTGATGGCGCTTGGGTCGAACAGTCCGGGTGCGCTGGGCGGATACGCGAGTAGGTGTAGAGAGGGGGGGGGGGGCACGGCGACCAGTACCGTCGGGGGTGGGAGGTGGGCGTGAAGAGGTACGGTTTGGGTAAAGAATAAGGGCAGACAAATCATCAACTTTCTCCATGCTGGACACCGGGCCTGTAGTAACCTAAACAAAACCTTCGACAGTCAGCGCTGAGTAGTCTAATGACTTGTTGCAGGCTTGTACTAAAGACCTCCGTGAGTCTCAAACTCCTCGGCAGGGACCGGGTAACCACATCAAGGTGAACGGCTCTTTGTGGAAACCCCTCCGTCGAGACCGTAAATCAAACTCGGGGGGGTTTCCATCGAAAAAAACAATGCCATCGCCTGCCGGCCTGCCGGGGGGTTATGGAGCTGGGAACAGGGGGGAAGTGGCGTTTACCCCACCTGCCGGCGCCGACACCAAAAGAATCAGGCACAAGCAACGACTACAACATTGTTCCCCCCGTGGGCAACAGGCTCAACAAGCAAGTAAGGTGGCCATCCGGTGTATCTGACTTAAGATCTTGTGTATCTGACTTAAGATCTTGTTTATCTGACTGAAGAACGCGCCACGACTGACGAACTCAACAACGTTTCTCACCTAAAATATCCCAAAATCTTAGAACTTGGCCATAACAACATGAAGCCCAGCCAATAATCGTACCCTAAAACCTTCATTGTCGCTCGCTGTGGGGGTAGTGTCTACTATACCCCATACACAATACAATATACGAAACGAGCCTCGGCGAAAGTGAGAGGTTCTCAAGTGGTGGCACACGTTGCGCCGTTATTTATCTGTTCTCACATTCCAAGGAGAACCTCCGAAAGCGCCACCCCGTCGGCTAGGTCGGACAGCGACGAGCATCTCGATGACAGCTCGAAGGTGTTAACCTGCATGCAAGCAAGGGCGACACAGGACACGCGCTGGGTCAAAAGCAATTCATTTACTGACAAAACCCCAAAAGACTGGACTTGAGGGGTGTATGTGTTGAAGTCCTTACAATCAAGGCTCGTTACATCGGCCAAAGCAAAAAAAACTGCCTCAAGTGGGTAGAATTTCTTTGACCGAGGTTCCAATATGAATAAAAAAAAGCATCGCACACAGAGGTTGTCGAAGAAAGCACGGGAAGCCCGGGTGATGTTTTTGACATTAGGCCCTGTCGTGTCATGCTCGCGCCAGTTCCTGACCAAAGACTGCTGAAAAATTGGATCCGAATCCCCGGGAAAGCGCGGCCAAAACAGGGGGACTACCGTATATGACACAAGATAACACACCCCCTGGACCGATTTTCAAAGCTCGACTACTCCACGACGAAGAGGATGCATAAATGAAACAATACGCTTTCGAACAGCTCTCGACGAGACGGTTCCAACGCCGCCGTTTTCGGCGCTGTGACTCTTCCTGCTGTTGAGAAATCGAGCTTTGAAAATCGGCCAAGGGGGTGTGTTATCTTGTGTCATATACGGTAATCGAGCAGGCGCGGAGGGGTAGTTGATTTTGCGTCGTGTTCACACCTACTACAATAAGGCACGAAACTATGTAGTGCTTCAACGATGCTGTGCGCCTTCGGTATCGACAAACGCGTGAGTATGTAACGCAAATGGCGTCGGAAGCCGGGACTGGAGGTGAGGTTTAGAACGGGGTGAACCAAAAAGGTTAGGGAGGCGGTATCTGTTCCGACAACCTTTGTTGAAAGGAATGGCAGGGAGAGGACGGCAGCATGGATTTCCTCAACGCCACTTGGTCGTTTGTGTTGATATGGGGCCCGCGCCGTTCGCGCTGCCTTCGTTGATACAAAAGACGGGTCGTGCTTCGGCCGAACAAAAAAAAAAGCTGAACCCTGCATGGCATGCGTGCAAGAAGGAGGAAACCCCCGCCGACAAAGTTCCTGCTGAACGCTGCATATGGTAGCCGTCGCCACCCTAAAAACATTGTACTGTAATGGCTGCGTCGCGTAACAGCACAAACGCCCACTCCGCCGCCCCCCAACGGCGGTAGACAGGACTGCGCATCAAAAAGGAGGGGGGTCGGGTCGGAAGGGAGATGTCACCGGTTTGCTGCTTCATACAGACGCCGTTTGATACGCCGATGGTGCAACTTGATTTCTAAGAATCTGGCGTGCCGAGTTCAACCCAAAGCACGAGTGGGGGGTTAATGGCAAACACAAGCCGATGGTTCCTTCGCGTACGCGCCAAACGCGTGGGTATGCGTAGGAGGTTAGCGGAAAGGTTGCCCGTCTTGTGTGCATGAGGCTGCGTGTCAACTGGGGTGTGTTTGTGCTGCTTTTCTTGTGTGACTGCCAGCAGAATTTTGGGTGTCGCCAAATCATTTACGTTCGCGTCTACACGCTTGACCTACACACGCCGGCAACAGGCAAGGAAGAAGCAACTAAACCCCGTCCAGCTTCTTCACGCAGCAGCGCGTTGGGGGGGGGGGGGGGGGGGGATCGTTGTCACGTATCGTTGAAGAACAGAGAACGGCGGTGTCGACATCATTCTCGCTTGTCGGGGGCAAACCCGCAACACGAGAAATTTCCAGAGGGGCCTCCACCCGAACGAAAGTCAACTTCGGATCTACACATGGCAGTCAGTGCGGCAGCTGCCAAACGCTTCACGCCTAAACCCGAACGCACGCTCACCCACTCCACCATGCCGGTCTCCATCCTTGACATCACTCTGCCCCAATTCCGCTGATCCCGACCCTTATTCTAGTTTCCCCTTCCCTTTGCTTCGCCAAGGGGCAACAGGAACCCGCGCCGCGTCCCCGCTCGCGAAGCAAGCAGCAGAGACTTGAGCCGCCGACACAAAAGTGAGACCTTGATGAGCCAGTAGCAATTGCTTATCCCCTGAAACGCGATGCTGCCTCCCCGGGACCGCAAACCGCCTAGCCCGAGCTCAGTAAAATCCACCGGCGCTTTCGCCTAGCAGCAGCCCGCAACGCCTGATGGGGGTGCCCTTTATCGGAGGGCGTGCTGATGAGATAGGTCGCCAGCAGCGAAAGAGATACCGCTTGCAATGTTTTTGTGGCAGTTTCTCTGGAGGACTCCGAGCTCCCTACACGAGCACCCCACGAAACGGCTATGGACGAGGGTGTGTAGGAGGGGACCACTGGTCAGCGGCAAGGCAAGCACAGCAGACCCTGCTCGGTCGGTCAGCGGCTGGGTGAGGCAGGAGCAGCTGGTGTCCGCTGTGCACTCACTAGGCCGGGGTGCACGCACTGATATGGCGACCACTACCCTGCTAAATACCATTTGCAGGGACCCTGGCTTAAAAGAAAAAAAACAGGTCACTGCTCTTGTCCTGCAGGCACAACAAACTTGCAACTTGGCCAGTGGGTGGTCGCGTTCGTCAAAGCAATAACTTGTCCTGTGCATGTTGTGTGTAGCCCTCGTGGTCTCGTGGTTGTGGCCAAGTCGCGACGCGTGTCGATCCACCAGCATATAAATTCAATGGTATGTCGTCTGGTGGGTGTGCCCAAACAACAGACAGACAGACCAGCAACACTGAGCTGCTACAGATCTGCTTGAAGTAGAGGACTCAACAAGGGAACGCAGTGGTCATGTTGCTGTCACCTGCCGGAGCTTTGCGGGCGATGCTGGTGCTGTGTGGTGCGCTGGGCCTTCAGCAGATACGCCACCGACCGCCAGTGTTCGAGCGAGGCACCTCTACCGCCATCATCCCGTACAACAAGGACGTGTTGCCACAAACACGTGCTACTGCGCGGTTGCACGGGGATAGCTGTTGGGAGAAGACGCAGACACCGCAACCACAAGGCTGGCGCGTAGCGCGGGGGGGCTTTTCTTTTGCCGTCCACTCTTCATCACCATCCGGGACAGAGGATGAATTATCGGATGGCTCGTCTCGAAGGCGGCAGGCACGCAACAGCGAGAAAAATAGAGCGGGACGCAACAACAGCCGCTCATCGTCTTTGGAGTCCCCTCAGCAATCGCCGCCGTTGGAGGTCCTCCATCAAAATGAGCACTTCGCGTGAGCATAATGCGCATATGACATGTCGCTTTCTGTAGAGGGAACGGGACCGAGGTGGCAAGGGCTCGTTTACCTGGGGAAATGGCGGGCGTGGTTGTATGTGTGTGCCAATTCACGCTACTGCTGGAGAATTTGTGGCCAAGCCTTGTGGTTGAAGTCTGTTTGCCTTCCTCGTGTTTTTGCTGGCGTACGTCTTACAGCCCTCATGGATGCTCGACACGTTTGGCGACCAGCCTCATGTTGTGCACCCACTGATGTCTACTTCGTACTACGTATTCTTTTTTGCCACTCTATCTGCAGAGCGAAAGCCCTTCCTTGTCCGATCAAAACCACCCCGCCCCATCCCGGTGCCTCCACCCCTCCTCCGTTTGTTTGCCTTTTCATTCCCAGACGACGTTTTTTTGCTGTACGAGTTGTTGCGACCGCTTTGTTGCTTGGTGCCCGCGCGCATGCCGTTACAGGTACGCGCGTCCCCCTAATCACTACCCTAACCCTATTCCCAACCCTTTCTTGCTACGACGGCTGCAGTGTGGTCTCCAAGCCGCCAGGGATGCATTGTCATCGCCCTGAGTTTGGCTCTCGCGATCCCGACTTCGTAATGCAGAAGGGTGCGTCCATCATGTGTACACTGCACTACAGTACACAGATTACATGCATAAATTAAAAAACCCACCCGACGGCTCGACCTTGAAGCGACGTGCGCCCTAGCCAATTGCTTGCTGCGTTTCGAAGCAGTAAGGGTGAGAAGGATCTTGGCTCCTTGTTGCATGGGTTTTTGTTGCATGGAACGGTTTCATCTTACGTTATCTCTTGGCTACCTCATGTGCCCGTTCGCGTAATCATGCACACCTTGGCCGAAAGCTCGAGACCAGCTAGGGCGCCGCGTTTTTCTACCGCATCGTTTGGACCGCGCCACATCTGGATGTCTCTTGGTGGGCTTCAGTTCCCAAGCAGCCAAGGTACGCCCCAAGCAGCGATGAGCAATATTTGAACGAGATCCTGTTCCGTGGCGAGCCGCTTACAGAACGATTTCTTGCAGGCTTGTCGGCAAGGATCACGTTGATGCTTGCGACTGACTGTAACGGGCACGTAAAATCCCATGTTTTCCCAGTGCCACACACATGTTTTTCCGACCAGGTCGCGAGCTTTCGATAGGGATTGAGGGCAACTCTGCGTGTTCGTGGCTCATGCACCAACAGGTGCTCCATCAAACGCTTGCCCAACCCGACTCCAGCAAGACGTACGTGGCGATCGTGAGGGGTAGCGGGGGCGCATTTGTCGGCAAGGGGTGGTTCACGGTAAGATTTTTTCTTCCGTGGTATCGCCCGATTCATGTGCCTTTTCCGTGAGACTCTCCCTGTGGAGGCCTCGAAATACGAAGAAAGCAGGTCGTTTTTTCTCTACCAAAGAAATACGTGCATGCAGGAATTGACAGTGGTTGATAAAAATGTTACTTGTGTAAATTAAACATTGTGTCGACGACCATCGACCCATTCAGGTGGACAGACCAATCAAGGATGAGAAGAAGATCTTGAGGGAGGCGTCAACGCGATTTCTCTTCGTGAGGGGTGGAAACGACCCTGATCCCAGGTGCTGTCTCGTGCTCGCACAGCCTTCCACTGGACGGTGAGCGAACGTTTGTTTTGCGTCGTTTGCCATTCTTCGTGTTGTTCGATTGTCAAACATAGGAAAAACGGTCTCGTGCAGCGCAAAAAAGCGACCGCATAACTGCAAGAAATATCTTTCCAATGCCATCATGACCACCGGCTCATGGACGATCAAGCAGTGGACGCCAGTTGACCTGCCCCGTGCAACATCGAAGCGAATAGGTTTTATGTGAACCAGGGTTTCCCCCCCTCCGGCATTTTTGCCCGTGTGTCCTTTCAGGTTTCACCAGATCCGAAGGCACCTGAACGGGCTCAGTCATCCCATCGTGGGCGACTCTGTGCATGGGGACTGCCGCTTTAACCGAGAGGTGGCTGATCACCGCAACTCGGCACCCGCCGGGCGATTGATGCTCCACTGCCTCCGGTTGTCACTACCGACATTGCCGGACGCGGTATCACAGGCGTTGAAACACGCAACAGGGGGAATTTTGTCGCCGGAGACGGCGCCGGACAAAGACACGATGACGAATCACTACTGTGAGCGTGAAAGAAAATCAGAGAGGGGGCACAACGCCCGAGCTGGGCAGGAGAGAGGCGAACGCCGTAGTCGGAAAAGAGAGGATGGCCACGGCAATACCAGGGGGGTCGATGGCAGGGAAGGTAGAGCATTTGGCTCTGTCTCGGAGGAAGTGCAGGCTCCCGTCGAAACTGAGAAAGCAGCTTCTAACACCGGCGACCCGTACCCCAAACCCCGTTCGGAATTTGATTCAACCAGAACGCCCCCGGCCTCCGCCCCGCGCCAAGAAATATCAACCGAACCATTCGTTCCCACTCTGGCTGAGATCAGTGCGGCCATTTCACCGTCTGTAGGGAAGAAAGAGAGTTCCACAGGAGGTTGTAGACCTCGTCCTATTGATGGGGAGGCACAAGAGGAGCTAGTGGGAGAAGGTTTCCACGTGTACGCCGAGCCGCCAGATGACATGATGATGTTCTTGCGAGGCATGTCTTGGTGGGAAGAGGGTTTGTTTTGATGTAGTGCTCTACGAAGAAAGTGTTCTGGGAGCTTATGATATCGGCACTCCGAGACATGGAAAGAGAACCACCGCTTCCGACCACTTTCGACTTCAATGGCTACAAGCTGTGCTTCAACGCATTTCTCCGCGGACGTACTTCCGCCTCCAACATCCCGAGTGAAACCCGCCGTCCGAAATATCTTCTAGGTCGTCCTCAACGTCACCCGCCAACGACCCGAATCGAGGCGTAGCTGTGTAACCACCGTTGTCCCTGGCCTCTCCCAATCGTCTTGCCAGCTTGTCACCACTGGTACGCCCGGTTCCACCCGTAGGACTGGCGGCGAACAGCTCGCGGGGCAGGTCACTAACGCCGCCGTCCGTAGCGCCTCCTATCGCATAGCGGTACTGTTGTTCGGCGTCACCTTCGCCCACTCTCCTCGCTGATCCTTCTCCGCCCGAAGCGCCGTTGTTGTGGACACCTGGCGTTGCAGTAGTAATGCTCCGCTGTTCGTTTAGCTCCGCTCTCCGGTGCGGGCTAATCGGTGCCATCACGTCACCCGGGGTTGGTGGCGGTGACGATAGGGCGGAGGAATTGCTCGAGCGCAACAGGCGGTTTAGACGCATGTCCTCCCGTTCCGTTAGCCCGTCTTCATTGCCGCTACGTTCACGGGCGGTCGGCGGCGGATGATGGTAATTGCCTCGGGTTTCCACGGGTAGTGGGACTTCGACAGTTTCTCCCGCACCCGCTGCCGATACCGAGTGCCCAGGCATCCGAGTACCACCCGACGGGGTCGAGCTCAGACCCGCCCCGCCACCAGGATTAGGGCCTTCATTGCCCGTGAGGGAATCCGGGCCAGGTGTTTCATGCTTCAGCTGTGCCCGAAGCGCGTTTATGTGTGCCTCAACCTGCCCAAGTACCTGCGCGAGGTGAAAGGCGGGGATTCGGGTTGGGGGCGGGGTAGGGTGCCGGTGGGGTTGCGAACGTCGTGCACCGCAATACGCACCGAACTTGGTTTCATATCGAAGGCGGCGGGCTGGGGTAAAATGCATCGTAGAGTTTTGGCACTCCTGTAACAGGGAAGCCGTCATGATTGCATCCCTTGACTAGGAACCGACTACTGTCGCTATTTGGACGGTTTGAGTTCTTATGGAGTACTTGTCGTGCTCACGTGATCCTAGAACTCGAACGTGGCTACATTGAACCCTGTGCTCCTCTCCTGAACCGAGTAGACTATGGACTGCGAGATACATTGAAACCGCGCACCTGGGCTTGCAGAACACCTTGCCAGCCCTTGCCGCTGGTAGGTTCTCTTGGGTCACCACCACCACCGCCGCCGCCGCCACCACTACCACCACCAGTCTTCAAAGGGGACCGTGTGGAAATCCCCAGGCCGCTGTCGTGATTGAAGCAGCCCGACTTAGCAAGTGGCGGCTGCTTCTCACTCCATGTGAGGTACTTCTGAAGTTCCCCACGGATGCTATGATTTTCGGCGGCAAGCCTCTCGGCTACAGTCTGTTTGGTCAAAGTTGTGAACGACGAGAGAATGAGGAACCAAGAGCCTTACAACAAGGACATTGGAGAACCATGAAGCGACTCGGGCAAATCCAGCAAGATGACACCTTTCTCGTGTCCCCGAGAACGCTGCCCGGGATCATGGAGGAGCACGCACACTTTTCAGGAAAAATTGGACCAATACAGTTGCGTTGGATGGAGGCAGATGGGAGCCTAGGAAGCCCCAAGATTCTTGCCGGTGCGCTAACATATTTCACCCCCTGAAAGGGGAAGGTCGGCTTGTCTTGATATATGTAGACAAGAACGCTGAGAGCGGCGGTTCGACGAAGAAACACGCAACATGGAGAAGCAGCAATGAACCAAAGGCGTAGAGATTCTTGGTGTGCACTACTACTGCAGGTGCAGTTAACACTCACCCGGAATCGCTCGGCCTCCACCCTCGCCCCTGCCACATCATCGTGCCGCCTGGCCTCATCTTCTGTCATAGCAGCCTATGTAGGTTGAACATCACAAATCAACGTTCCACGGGCACGGTTTCTTTCAGGCACACAATGAGCAGGGATACAGAATAGAGGAGCGAACCAAAGACGTCACGCCTCACTTGACGCGTAAACAAGACACCTCCCGACTCCACCCGGCCGAAAAATGCTGCCAACTTTCATGGACTGCTCGTGCTGGGATGGAATAGCATTGAACAAAGCGTCCCTCGTTGGGTAAGTACTATTGTACCCTACGCCATACGTTCACGTGCGTTGTGTAATTGCAGCTGGTGTAGGCTACCGCCCTTCAAGTTACGAAGAGAGCGTGCCTTGATAAGCGGAAAGAGGAAAAGGCGTTTCGCGTGTTGATTGGGCACTTCGGATAACTTGGTCTGTTGTGTGTCTCCACAGAACCATCACTGACCTGCAGCTCTTCGAGCCGCCGATCCCTATCCGCCCTAAGGGCCTTCATGTCCTCCTCTGCCTTCTGTCGGAAGTGCTTCCCCGCTTCAGCTACGGCCTTCTCAGCAATCCAAGGGAGCTTGCGGGAAACTTCGTCCTTTAGGGAAGACAGTTCAGAAGTATGCGTCTCCTGGGACAAGAAACGAAGAAGTCGCGATGAGGAAACGTGAGATTGGCGAGGTTCTTTGTTCAGAGATTGGCTGTACCTCACACACCATTTTGGCTCTTGAGGAGCTCCAAAAATATCGCTGCAGGTGGTAAAGATCGTTGCAGTAGGTTTCTCGACCATGGATAACATGAGGTGACCGGCTCGTAGACCTGCGTATGTTAGTCGCGATGAACACCGCGGAAGCTTTTTGGGCGCGTCGAAAAGAGACTCAAAGTGCTCTCTGCGGCGACGGGATCATTTCTCGCTTATTGCGTCTACGTGTACCCTCATTGGTTTGCGGACCGTACGGAACCATGGTTCGTGGTGTCTATTTTAGTGGCTGAATGTATAGTCGTAGCGGTTTGTTCGCCGTGCGTGTCTCTTTGTTTGCCAAAACGAAGACCTGGTGCCCAGCGGACTGGACACGTACCAGCATAAATGTATTCCGCGTACATTTCACCAGAAGTACAGACCAACCCTTCCCCCCCCGATGATTTCTATAGTGCGCTACACCTGCAGACGCTTCGCCTCGGCTGTCAGGTCGGCCGCTCCCCTGCGAGCGTCTTGAACTTGTCGCCGTAGCTCCATCTGACCAAGGAATGACACCGAAAAAGGACGTCTCAATCAACTACGGTCGGGAGGCGAGGAGCTGGGCGAATCACCGTAGAATGGTGTAGATGAGCTTCCATTCCCTCACAAACTTTCGAATTGGAAGAACAGCCGATCGCACCTCATACCAGGACCTTCAATCGTAGATCTCCCGGGAACTCGTCGTCGATAATAATTCCAAGAATACAACATACAACAGAGTGTATGTTCGCCAATGCAACCGCGCAGTCAAGCCCCCTTTCCTGTTCGACCTTTGGTCGGCGCACTACTGCGAGATTTCTCCTAAGAACCCAAAAGGAAAGGTCTCTAGGCAGCTTAATCAGGTTCTCAGGCACTTGCCTGTGGCCCAGAAATTCGTACGAGAGGCTCCAAACAAGATTCACCAGCCATGCATGCAGCACGGCCAACACTGCCGGTATCGTCTACGTGATCCAGACGAATCTTACATTACGCTTCACATGCGGCGCGGCCACTGCGTCCATGCTGGTCCGTAGTCTCGCTGCTTCCGACCGCAGCTCTGCCACCTCGGTACCCGTGCTCAAGGCTTTAGCTTCCGCTCTACACGGTTTCGTGTGGTGGGTTGTACGGAAAAGGAAATGCGGACGGCAATGCTTCGGGCCAACAAAGCAAGGAAGGTCGACTCTCCGATAGCTCGTAAACAGAAGCTTAGCGTCGTCGTATATCCCACCAATTCTAAGAACTACGGCTGGTGTTTGGTCCTCATCGACGGGTACAGCTTGCAGATATATTGGAAGAGAACCCCGGGTATGATATCCAAGCGTTTGGAGCGTTCGTGGCATGTCGCAGATGCCAACCTCTATGAATTTTGTAGTCGGATGATACGTTCCTTTGGACTAGATGCAGTGGAGCGTCGGATTTTGCGTCAGAATCGATAGGTGCCTCGCTTTCCCTCACGTTCGCAATGTTCTAGGTTTCGAAAGCGCCGTTCAGATGTGCAATTCGTTCCGTCAGGAGTTCACTGAGCACGTCACAAAGTGGCATCCATGTTACAAACTCGAGACTTGTTCTGGAAATTCAACGTGCTTCCGCATGTCCTCGCTGTTATTATTTACATGCGACACTCTCAGTACCGATCTAACGTTCGCTTCGTACCTCCACCGGTTCAAATTTCTCGCAATACGGACGTGGAGACTGCCATTTCACCGAAGGTTGAGAAGGGTACCGCATGTACTCACGCGTCGGCCCTGAGGGTCTCTTTCAACCTCCACGTTTCGGCTGAAGCGGCGAGCTCCGCGGACCTCTTCCCCTCATAGACAGCTGCGTCGCGCTCTCTTTCCGACTCTCTGAGCCTGGGGAATCGAGTGGGGATTTTACTGATCGGGAGAGTTGTATTGAAATCGCTATAGCCCCTGCAAGTGATTCGCGGTAACCTGACGTGTCTCGGACTTCTTGGCACGACGAATATCTCGTTTGCCGCTTTTGCGTTAGCCTCCGTCGAACTCACTACTTAACGTTACGCAGCCTGTTTCCTACAGTGAGCAGCGATTTGTTGTTCCAAACGGCCCATTCCAAACCGCCCTATGCACTGCTCGGAGCACCTTGATAGAGCGTCCTGCTGCCCGTTTCGCATTTCTCGTTCCATGGAGGCGTTGGCCGACTGAAGCTCCGCCGCCCTTGCTCGGAAACTCTCGGCCTCGCTCTCTAACGCGGCCTTGGTCCGCTGCTGACAAGCCTGGTTTTCACAACGTCGTTGATACGTGGCGCTCGGCTTCATGTACGCACCGCATTCTACAGGTGGTATTTCGATCTTGCGTTCGTACATCGGCGAACAACACGAAAATTGTGATCTAGCTGCGATGTTCTTCTTCCCGCTAGGTCTCACTGGTGGGTTTGTAGTTCTCGCGCCGGTGCGCCGTGGCTAGGCACCCTGATATGCACGTCCGTCGCGAAGCGGGAACGTCAGTGCTAACGGTACAGTCTTTGTTGTGTCATGGCCTCAACTAGTTGACCGGGCGTAGCTGCTTTTTCCCTAGCATCGAACAAAGGGTGGAGAGAATGACCTCTACACCGTATAAGGTCTAGAGACGAGAACTAAGGCTCAGATGCAGTAAAAATCTCTTCCGGTGCCCCGCCCCGGTTCCTTAACTGACCTCAGCATTACTGCGCTTCTCCTGCTCAAGGCCCAGCTGCACACGCAAACGGCTTGCTTCCTCCCCGGCCTTTGCGATCTCCGATTCCTTGAAGGATACTTCGTCGCGGGCCCTGCTTTTAAATTTCGCAATCCCGTCCCAGCGAGATGTACATCATGGTTGAAGGTGGTTTGGTTCTGATTAAGCGCGGTTTGTGAAGCAAGTGACTAGCCCGTTCTTCGTTGGCTGACATCTCTCCACTTCCATCCGGTGTCTCTGAATGCTAACACCGCTCGTGGCGGGCTACGGCTCGAGCTCCATGTCTAAACATGCTTTGATCCATCTTTCAGCGCATGAGCACCATCTTCTCGTTCAACAATGTACCTCACATCCACGATGTACCGTTGATCCCGTGCTGGGAAATACGTAGTTCCATGTGGGGTTCTTTCACCCTCCCCTCCCAAACCGATTGTCCTATGGTGTCGAGTTTCTAGCTGGCCAGTCCTACATTGGCTGCACCTGGAGAGCGCGTGGTTGAGCGCAGACATCTCGCTGGCAGCCTGAGAAAGAGCCGCCTCCGAAGTGGACGCTCGAGCACTGCATCGTACCCGCATACGTAGGATCAAACAGCAGGTCAAGGTCGGTTGTATTTCACATAATCTGTGCGGTGGTCATATCCACGGAGTGAGTTGCTGCTCTTTCGTGTGCAGTCCAAGGTCGACCAACAAAGACAAGGATGAAGATTTGCTACTATGATGCGGAATCGGGTTTGTGGTATACGCATCCTGCTGCATAGTACTCGTACCGTCGCGAGGAAGAACTGAGCTGTCAGCAAAGTGCCGTACGAAACTACTTCGAAGAATAGGGGCGAACCGGTGAATGCCCAGCCTCGACCCTCTTTTCGTATCCCTGTGCTACTATTTCACTCCAGCGAAAACCGATATGCTTGCCTGGTTTCAGCAGCCTCTAGTCTCCGTCGTTCCGCCAGATCTCTGGTGCGATGCACCTCCTTCGATGATTCCGACTCCTGGAACCATTCCGCCATACGTCATGCAGGGTATTACGACAGGGAAAAATAATGTTGAAAGGTGATGACTACCCACCTCGCAACATGGCCTGTTTTGAAACATCTCGTCTAGACTGCTGTAATCGAACGTACACAAACCCAAATAATATACTCATAATTACCTCTTCAGTACTGCGCTCAACGACACGTGCGACACGCGGTTGCGATCCTTCCATCTTACCTTCGTCAGTGCTTCTGCCAACCGACTTTGCATTTCCACAAGGTCCTTTCCCTGGTAGACGAAAGGCACAACGAGGAAGAACAATCAGCAACAGACCCGCGCGAGTCAACAGAGATGCTTGTCATAGCGCACTTCTCGGAGTGGTTCTCATGGCCGTTTGCTTAGACAAGTGTATTTCATCAACAACAGTGAGCGCCATGTGACTGAAAGCAACTTACTAGACTATGCGTTACTTCTGCTATTCTCGCTGTTCGACCTGCCTAATTGAAGGGACGTGAATACATCCACTGGGCCTCATCTTGGTTAGACATATGCGTCTTACGAGGCGGTTTGAACTGAGTACAGGAGAGAGTGCACGATGAAGTTTCACCGCCAATGTCTAGAGAGTCGTTCCCGTGCAAAAAAACAGCCGTGCGGACACGGCTTGGTTGGTACGGACGGAGAGGGACCCATGGCCTCGTTGTCGGTTCTCATGAAGGTCGTGACCATATCCACTCTGGCCAGTTGAATGCAGGGGCAACTTTAAAGGAGCTTGCGGGAATACAACGTTGTAAGACGCCCTCGCACCTGGTTTTCAGTCTCTGACTCCTTGTTTGCCAGCAGGAGTCGAAGTCTTGGGACGTCACTTTCCCTCTCCGCCGAGGCCTTTTCTGCCTCCTGTAGAGCAAATACACGCAGGATGGTGAGCGAAGTGCAGGCGTTCGACAAATGAAGTCTCTTGCTACTATCTTGTGGTTCAGCTTACGTGCAGCTGCAGTATCGCTCATACCTGGAACAGTTGGTACCATCGTAAGCGCGATCAGTCTCCGGAATATCCGTAAACCATCACTACGTACCCGTAGATTCAACCATGTTGTGACTTTTGACATTACACTCACCTCCTTCCGAGCGAGGGCGCCTTCCGCGTCTTCTGCCTTTTTGAGAGCGTTCTTCAGTTCTAGTCGCAACCCCTCCTCCTTTTCCTTCCCGGCCACGCCAGCGACAGACATCTGAAATACGTGCCACAAGTGATGAGTGAAAGAACGGTTGGGTTTTGGTTCAACAGCAAGATGTACTACATAATCTCCGAGAATGACCAACCTACCCAAGAACGAGAACCTGAGCGCTCTATAGAACAAACTCCTGTTCAAACGTCGGGTGTCCGACAACGAGGTTACACGTAAATGAGAGATGAGATTCATGCAATTTCACTCTCCGAGTGATACGGAGCATATAAAGCTACATCGTGTTGAAACCAAGTAGGAGCGACCTCTGTGCCGTACGTGAATACGCAATGACTACCGCCCGACTTCCGTGACGAAAGAGTACAACCAGCACGAAGGTACCTTAAACCAGATGCGCAGTTATCTACAAGGAGAATAACGGACGCGCAAGGGTATAGCGTTTGCTCGAGCCCGTCAAAGGTATCAGCGAGTCTGTGGACAGGCGAGCATGAGGAAGGACAGCCATCATGAGTGGGTAGTAGAGCGCGGACTCCAAACGTTCGTAGGGGTGGACAGCTGAAACCAGGGTGTCGGTGTAACACCACGGGATGGCAGCATATTACAAGCGGGAAGCCGCGTGTGCGCTTGCTTCCAGACTTTGAAAATTGCGTGCGCCAGATCGCAGTGGTAGATACTGAACCGGACACGTAGGGAGCAGGTGACATACACCGCCGGGGGTGGGGGTACGGCTTTGGTGGCGAGCGCCCGTGACACACCGCGAGGAAAGGGCCACAGGGTAATCAGTGTCTGTAAATGACCGCAGCTCTTGCGCTCTTAGCTCTCGGCAATCGATTTTTGCTTCCTACCGGGTTCTTGCGAGGCCGGCAGTAGCGTGTACGTTGGTTGGGCCACGGGAGATACCTCTGCCATACCTACCTCACCTCCCTTGTCTTCGAGGCGGCCTCAGCGAGCTTTTCCTTCAAACTTGTCGCATTTCGCTCTTGCTGCTCGAGAGAGGTTGGTTCGGACAGAAAGGAACACACGGACGAGGGATGTCAGTCATCACGTGTCGGAAGCCATGCGGGCCCAGCGGTCCGACCAAAGCCCACACGAGACCGTCCGTCTGCATGTGTCACCCTCCTCCTTCGTCTCGCCCCCGACCCCCGCCGCTCTTTGCCCTACCTCGGAGAGTGCCCTCGCGTGCTTCTCTTGGGCGACTCCCTCTCTCCTGGCCGCATCCGCTAGCTCCCTGCGGAGGAGATCTTCGCGCGAAGTGCTGGAAGCCAAGCTAGCCTCGAGTTTCAATACCTAGAACGCGACGAACGACGAAGCGCACGCAACACGGCCTGGTGAAGAATATTGTGTGGCCGGCAGGATGTTGAGGTTTGTTCGGCACGCAAGAAGAGCTTGCCATCAGGACAAGTGGCGGAACGAACGTTTTGATATATCTTACGCTCGGTTACCCCCTTCTTAGGTGCTCGCACATCTTCCCGTCCTCCCAGCACGTCCTGTGTACACGAACGTTGTACTCCGTTGCTCGGAACGTACTTTCAGCAAAGGGGGGGGGTAAGTTGACCCTTGGCGTCCATACTGCATGATTTGTTGCGTTCCGTACTAGCAAAATGCCCCGGGTTTACACGGCGTAGGCCGTGGGCCGTGACCGCAGTCTTGTGGTTACTTCTCCTCAGGTTTCGCGCTGAACCGTAACTTGTTGTCAAACTTATAACTCTCAACTAGGCGGACCGTGCTTAGATGCTCAATCTGGTTTGATTGTCCCGTTAGTACCACAGCCTAGCCCGACATATACCTTATTCTCCAGCTCCCTGGCTTTTTTGGCAGCATCTTGCTGTTGCTGCTGCAGCTGCCTCTCGACCTTGTCCTTCTCCCTCGTCATTTGCTGCATGTCTTCGTCTCTGCGGTGTCTTTGCATTGCCGTGACCCTCTCGCCGCCACCCCATCGCTGACCCTCGATATCGCCGAAGCTGCTGTATTGGTGGTCCCAACGGTCGCCACTAGAGTACTGGTCAGCACCGTGGTCACCCCCAAGGCTTCCAGACGGTCGCCTGGGGCCTGCGGTGTTGCCTTTTGCGGTTGGTCGTCTTCCTGAATGTCCACCCTGTCCGTCGTTCCTGTCCGTGCGGTCTCCGCGGCGGGGTGACGCCATTCCGGAATCGCGATCCCTTTCTATTCCACCGCCGTGTCGAAGGCGGCGAGATTCCCGCTCAGACGTTCGCTCCACGTTTCTGTCGTAGCCTCGCGTTGCGCCGTTGCCTCGCCAGTGGTCATCGCTGTCCTCACCGTACGAACGATTCCGATCAGCAGCGTTAGCAAAAACAACGTCGGGTTGGTCGTCCCTCTCTCGACCCCTCCGGCCAGTCTCCGCCCGACTTTCACGTTCTGTACGGGTGCCGTGCGCGCTCGAGTATTGCTTTCCCTTTTGCTCTTTTGCGGAATCCCCCGACGCGTCTTCTTTTGCGGGATTGCCGGCGACCTCTGGCCAGTCGTCCAGGTCTCGATCTGCCTTCCCCGCTGCCGACGGCAGTCCGCTCTCTCTCGAGTTGATACCTCGTTCCCCACTTGTATCACGACGGGAGTGCGTTTCGTCTTCGTTGCCCAATTTGTTGGCCTTGCTAGCTTTGTTCGGATGGTCACGCGGGCTGGATCGTCGGGCTTTGTCGTCCATCGCAATTGCTGCAGCCTTGGACATCGGTGGGGAAGACAGTGGTTCACCCTGGTTCTTCGTATCAATACCGACTCCGGATACGGCTGGAGATGATCTGCCTTGCGGTTCTGCGTCGGGGGCTTCCATCTCAGTTGGCGATTCATGCCGAACGTTTGGGTCACCGTCGCCTTCTTCCATGTCTCGTAGCTCGTCTTCAAAGTCTATTTCCTGCTGGATAGAAACAGGGAGTTCGCATGGAATGATGTCGACATCGACATAACTGTGTGCTATTCGTATGTCTATGTTCGTAAGGGCTAGAGCATTTTTCTTTTTTCTACCATGGAGCCGAGAGTTCCCGCCACCTATCCCACGGTATGAGACTTCCATCTACCCCCTTCTTATAGCGCGAGCAAAGCTGCCCACAATGATATGCTGACAGAATACCCGCTTTGACACTGTCCAACGCGAGAGCAAGCCTTCGCTTCTATACCCGTGCAAAATTCAGGGGCAACAGAGGGTCCCACAATCCTGCATACCTCCATATCGTTGTTCTTCCATGCCGCCGGCGAGGCCTGCGTGGAGCTCCTTCCATCAACACTGTGGTGCACCGCTGGCATGTCAACCCTATTCCCGCGATCCTCCTGTACAGATGCAGTGTTGCTTTGAACTTCGAGCCCGTTGACTACGCTTTCCGCACGCTCAACTGTTGGTTTCGCCGCCCGGTGCCCGCTTTCGCGATCAGTATCCTCTCTGAAACCACCACGTCTTGCTTCGCTGCTGGCATTTCCTTTCCGGGAATCGGCAGCCCTTCGGTTGGCATCGTCGTGGCCGCTCTTCTCGTTGTGTGAGTACGTGCTTCCTCCCACTACGCTTTTAGTCCTCCAGTTGTCGGTTGCTGCTGCGAGGTCTCCACTAACTGTTGCCACGGTTGTCATGCCCCCGCGGTTTGTCTCCTCTCGCTGCATCGAGACTTCTTGCCTGGACCCCCTTCCTCCCTCCTTACGGTCGGGCTCGAATGACTCACGAGTTTCATCTCGTGCTCCCCTCTCTCGACTACGGCTGCGATGTTTGTCGGGCCCTGGATTCTTGCTGGGGGACTCCTGCTTCAGACAACAAGGTTGAAGAGAAAATTAACCTGTTGTGTGCCCCGCACCCGGTCTCTCTCACCGGTCTATTTTGTCGTGGCATGGCATCGACATCTTCGCGTAAAGGTCGGCGATGCTCACTTTATCCTACCACTTGGCCTTACGAAATGGCCTTGCCTCCTTGCCTGAGGAACGTTGTCATTGGGCGACAGGAATCAATAGCCGTAAGTGGCTGCCCTGTTCCCAACCCTCACCTGTGTTTCTCTCCCCTCTGGTGGCTCGTCTGGCTTCGACCTGTCGCTTTCACCGCCGCCACTGCTGCTCCTCCGTGTTTTGTCTCGGGTTCGGCTTCGATGCCGTTCACTCGATGATTCCTGCTCGCGACCACTCCCCCGTCTTCGACGGCCCTCTTCCTTTCGCCGGTGCCCCCAGTCTTCTTCTTCGCGCCTGTGGGCCCGGCCGCTATCGCTGTGTCGGTTGCTTGCGTTCCGACGGTGCGTCGAGCTTCGGCGTTCATCTCTACCGTCCCCGTTGTCATCACGCTGGGTCCTACTGCTGGTGCTGCGGTGTCTCGACCGTTCCCTGTCATCCCTGTGCCTGCGACTATCCTTGCGCGTTTTGCTTCGCTTAGCGTTGTCACGGTGTCCCGAACTTTGGCTGCCCTGATCTCCGTTGGCCACTCCGTTTGAAGACCCGTGTTTTTCCGTCGTGTGCTCTCTCCGTGATCTAGATTCGCTACGTTCGTCGTTTTCCATGTCATCCCCCGACCTGTGGCGCCTGCTGCTAGTGCTGCGGCTGGCTCTTGACTTGGACGCAGATGCGCGAGACTTCGAGTCTTGTCGATTTCCTTTCTCTTCCTTTTCTCTCGCAGCCCGCCTGGCTTTTTTTCTCTTGAGTTTTTCCCTGTTGCGAGCAAGCAACCGAGGGAAAGCCGCTTGAATCAGCGACTCGTCACCATGGTGCTCCCTGAGTTAATCGATACTCGCAGGCAACATGTTAGTAGTATAGCCGCCAGGTGATGTTGCCGTAGTCTAAGATGGAAAACTCAACCAACCTTCGTTCCAAATGCAGGCACGAATGATACGTGGGTGCGCACACGAAGCGCACAAGTGTTAAAAGGTTTCAGGTTGACAAAGTTTCTTACGCACGCCCAACGTAATCTTCGTAGAACGATAGCCCTTTTTGTCGGCGGCAACTCGGTTGTCAAGTTTGCGATGTTGGGCTATATTCCCTCGTGTTCGAGTCTGAGTCGTGATATTGCTTCTGAATCCGGAGTTTCTCCATCTTCGTTTCAACGAAGGGCAGGGTTAGCCTCCTAAATAGCCGATACCTATTGCACACCTCCATCACCGAGTACGCGTACGATAGGTTCTGGCCTTGCTTCACGCACCTGTAGTACTCGTCGAGGGGGTGGTCCCACGTGCTTTCTCCCGTGGCCTCGTTGTAGTAGTAAACGAGGCCCTCGTATTCTCCCTCTCCCTCCCCGGTTACCCATCCTTCGGGGACCTCGGCGCTTAGCGCCTGGGGTGTAGAGGAAGCATGAGTGCCTCATGGAGCTAAGGTGCTGACTGGCATCCTCTCGACTGTTGGTTCCTACTTTATCGTCAGGTTTTTTATTGAGACGATCCTGAGCAGCTAACACCAGTCTTGTGGTACGTACATAGATTGCGAAGGTACCGATGCAAACGACTGAAAACCAATCCTTCCTCTGTTGCAGCTGCTTTATGGGTGCAAGGGCAACGGCTGGAGCCTCTCAAGGGCTGGTGTTCAGACTTTGCGGAACAACCTTCTGTGGCACAACGTGATGGCTGTGTGCAAAGCACACTCTCGTCCAGTGCGTGCTGTTGAAGCTGTCATGAATACGAGTGTACCAAATATCGTTCACAAACACAGGGAGCCATGTTGAGTTTGTTACACCATGAGCCTGCACAACTCAACACCAGCAGTCAGACGCCTTACTCCGTACGTGCCCTCCAGACTTGGTGCTGCGGGATCAACTGGAGAGAAATCACTACTACAACAGTGACATAACAGCAGCACGAACGAACCTCTTCTGCAATCCACATGTAGGCACCATCACGCTCTGGATCCATGCCAAGATACTTGGCATGTCTCGTCACCGCCTCCACGTAGTCCTCCTCGGATTCCGGCGGTGCACCATCCTCGGCTCCCTTTGTGGTAGGAAGTTGCTCGTCGTCATCTCCAGCAGGAGCCATGTTGAAGACAATTCAATCCCAAAGCTGCACGTTGCTTGCGGTATCTTTCTGCGTGACATGAAAGTGGCTGCTGGTCAAGATCCGGTCGTCGTGCTGAGGCACTCCGCCATCACTCACATGCGGTTGAATTTCCGGTGGGAACGCAGCAGCTTTGATATCGGGATGAACAATGGAGGGCCAACAAGACGGCGTGTCGTTTACGTTGTCCCCGAAATATAGGGGACAACACCTTCCTTCGGGACAAACCCCAAGGTTAATTTTCCACCCGCCGCAGGATCTATTGGTACAACAAGCTGATGCTTGTTCCTGCAGACGAATCAAACCTTCAAAACTTGTCGCAGGCTTTCGTATGTGCGCTGAGCGTTGAAATCGTACCGAAAACTTCCTGCTTGCTGTAGCTGAGCAGCTGAGCCGTTCGTTGCTGCACCCACACCTATGCCCTAGATCTTCCCCGCAATACCATCACGTCTGGCCTCAAGAGAGAGCGCGGAGGGGGCAAAACGCTTGAGTCTCTCTTCCCTCCTATGTGTCAGTTCAAGACAAAACACTTCGATGACGTGTGTGTGTGTGTGTGTGTGTGTGTGTGTTTTTTTTCAGCCGTTTCAGAGAGTTCGTAGAGATGCGTCATCACCACTGTCTCTCTCTCATCGGCCCTCTCCTGCATAGTTCTCGATCTGGCCTCTTTCGCACATCAACCTCTCGCGACAGCCAGCTTCCCGCCAAGGCAATATGGGAACGGTGAGTAGTATGTCGCGAAATCACGGTAGGCTCGGCAAAGTCTGCTATCGGCAGGGTGTTGTAGGCGTGGGGTGGTGATGCGGGAATCGGTGCGGTCAAACCCTGTTTATCCGATGGTGGTAAGCAGCCTGCTACCAGCTGCACTGCTGCTGTCATCCGAAGGCTCGACTGGGTGCTAGCGCGCTGTGATGCAGATCGGACTCGAGTGCACGAGGCACGGCGGAAGTCCTCGTGTCGTACATCGAGGAATCCTTGGTGTGGTGAACCCTGGCCTGTGTTTGTGTGTCTTTCAGACTGCCTTGGACAGCACGCACTTTTGGGTGGTTCCCTCTCAAACGCGTTTGCCACTGAACACTGCTGAACTCACAGCCACCCGCGCGTTGTTGGGTGTTTTATTTTACGCCCCCTCCCGTCTCTCCTCTCTCCCAGTTGGCATTTCGTTTCTGGCCTCATTGGCCACCACTTGACTCAGGGCCATGGCAGCGGTATCGTAGGAGGTGCCGCTGCCCCACCGGCTGTTCCGCAAAGCTTGCGCAAACCTTTGTTCCGAACGTTCCTCCATATTTGAATCGCGCCACGTACGCGTCATCACACAAGCTTTTTCTTTCTCTCTCTCGAAGCATCCCTCGTTTTTTTTTTTTCGCGGGAGAACTCAACAAACACAATCGACTGCCTGTACAAGCAGACAGCAACGACATAACACAACTTCGAAAAGACAAAGTGTTTAGCAGTAGGCGGGCTGCACTGGTTGCCTATTTCCTCTGCAACGGCCGGTGTTCCCGCGTCTCTAACGCTGCGTGTGTGTGTGTTTCACCTTCTCTTTGCCTCCCTCCCGCCGAAGGCCGAGCACGCCACGAACGGAACGATGGACTCGCAGCCTTCGGTGGGCGGCCTGCTTGCCGGGGCGAAGGCGGCCTTGACGGCGGGTGACCGAACCGTTGCCTCTCAGCAGCTGCACGAGGCTACCAAGGTGTGTTGACGGTTCCGGTTGGCACCGCCAGCAGTGCTCCCTCGGTTCGCTGGGGGGTGTTTTGTTTATACAAACGGGTAAAAAAAATCGGGGTATTGTACCGAAGTACCCCTGTTGGGTCGGTGTGCGATTTTTAAGAATTCACAGCAAGGCGGCATTTCTCAGCCCTTGCGGGCCCTTGTTCGGCCATTTGATGTGCTCATTTCTATTGTGTGCATGCAATGAGCATGCATGCCCTGAGACGCGGATAGGTTTGTTGACGGTCAGAAATTTGGATGCGGGTTGGCTGCTGCAGCGGTATTGCGGCGGAATTATGCGTCGCTCTCGACTCCAGTGCAGTAGTCCATACGCTCCCATTGCAATGTTCGAGAAATTGCCCACATGGCATCATTGTGAGCGACTGCGCTCCCAAGGGTGTGATTTGGAGTGTTGGGTTTTGTGGAAGCTGTAGCTCTCGAGTGGTTGGGTACCAAACCGTGGACTGTTCGTCAACCGTTCGTTTTTTATTTTCTGCACTATCGGTGTGGTGTCAACGAACCTCAGGTGTGTGAAGGCATGCCACACTTGGGTCTCGCACTTGCTTCTTGCAGCAGCAGGTAGCACGCCGCATCTTGCTACCCTCTTTTGCGGCAACGACGCGCGCTCTCTCCCCGCACGCACAGCGTGATGGTTGTCTCTCGTCTTGTAGACTGTTCATAATGTCAACCGCACGCACAGAGCAACACCCGCGGCTTCAGCGCCTCCTCTCCGTGCACAACGTTCCAAAGAACGTTCCACATCTCCCGTCTATCCCTGACATGGCAGTAGTTCCTAAGGGTGTACTATACATGCGTGCGTTTATACCTGTCTCCCTTCGCCAACGAAGCCTGGCTCCCACCCGCTGCCGTGCCTCGTCGAACCAATCAAACATACAGCTGGCACCCGACAACCCCAAGGCGTGGCGAGCCCTCGCAGACTTCCTCGAGACCGGCAACGACAACAAGCAGTTGGCCGAGGCCCTGTCCAAGTGCGTCGACATCGCGGAGAGCAAGGGGAACTACGGCCGCTCCCGCCCCCTCCGGCTCCGCCTCTCCGAGGTCCGCGAGGCCGCGGGCGACCGCCGCGGCGCCCTCGCCGCCCTCAAGGCCTTCACCTCGAACCCGGCGGCCGTCTCCGCTACGACCGCTACGACCGCATCGGCGGCGAACGGCGCCGGCGCCGGCCTCGCCGACAAGAAAAACACCTCCGCCGCCGCCAAGTCCGCCGCCGAGGCGGCGACCAAGGCCGCGGAGGCCGTCCGGGACACGGAGAACGCGGCCATGAAGGACCGCTCCACGCGGCTCTTCATGGAGCTGAACGCCGACCTTGTGCCGGCGTGCGCGCCGGCGCCGCCTCCCGCGCCGCTGCGCACGGCCCCGCGTCCGGCCACGAAGGCGGCGGCGGCAGCCAACTCCAGTTTTAGGCTCACAAACTGCTTCACCCCCCCGT